TTATGACTGTTTTTTGTGACAAACATGTATGTGTTCCGATCACTCTATCACAGAAAAATAAGAGTTGTAGAACTTATTGAAAACTCAAGACAGCCATAACATTATGTTTCTTTACAAGTGTATGTAAACTTTTGACCACAACTGTATATATATAATAGAGAGAGAATGAATGATATGTATGTGTACTAAGTAATGTGTCCTAAACCAGACCACAGGCTGGTATTGGTTCATAAAACAGTCATACATTCACACACATCCTTGTATTTGCATCAAACTGAGGGCTTTATATTGACTTCCATTCATTTCTGTAACTGTATTTATGTCTAACCCAGACATTTTGACTAAAACTAACCATTACTGGTCTATAGTTAACACTAACCTGAACCAGAACTTAATTCACTCCATACCTCTAAACCTAACTATTGAAGCACAGCAGAGCTGCAAACAAAGTGAGGACATTGAAGAGGTCCTCACTTTACATCAAAGACCTCACTTTGATAGTAACTATGGAGCAAATTGTCCTCACTCTTTAGTCAAAACAAGTACACCTCTCTTGTAGCCTGGACAGGCTGCAAGTCCATCATAGGGCCACATAGAGACAAACAAGACAAAAAACATTCATTCTCTCTCACATCTAGTGACTGTTCAGAATTGTCGAACATGATTGATCTTCAGGAGGAAACTGCAATGCCCAGAAAAAACACATGCACAACAGAACTTGCAACAGGCCAYAGCCTGGTTGAACCTTTGACCTTCCTGCTGTGAGACGAACAGTTTTAACCACTGCACCTCTGTGCTGCAGGACAAAGCAGTTGTTACTAAAAGGAGAAATATAAAAACTTCAATTYAGCTTATTGATGATAATCGAAGGAGGTTACTGATTTAACTCTAGCGATATTGACAAATAGCCTTTATGTGAACATATTTGCTATAAATAAAAAAYTGAAGGCTCCATACAGGCAGGCTATAATGGAATGATACATCAGTGGGCATTCTTGCTCACTGTTGACAGRTATTTGTTTTTGCACATGCAGTTGCAGGGATCAGTTCAGCTGAAGTTCAATCTGAACTGAGTTGAATGGTTGAATGAGCTGTGTGAATCCCAATGATCAGGTTTGGCTGCCTAGAAGCTGTCATCACACAGTTTTTGTACTGTTGTTTCTGTGCCTGTAGGACCCCACTGCATGCTGCTGCATTCGCTGAGGATGTCTTAGGACTTCAGCTGGTTCTTCGCCATGGGGCAGAGATCAATGCAGTGGATAAAAGTGGACTTTCTGCTCTGATGGTAGCTGCTGACAAGGGACACAGTGGCACTGTGGGTAAGTCTTGAATCTGTCCGTGGCTGCTGTGAGACACAAAGTTTACTCAAAAGGTTTTTGAATAAAGTTTTAAAAAGTGGAGTTTAGCATCTTTGGTTTTGGACAAATGTAATGTGTTGATGTTTTGGTGCCTCCCAGCCATTCTCCTTCACCGGGCCAAGGCTGACCTGACACTTTTGGATGAGAACAGGAACACTGCCCTGCACCTGGCCTGCAGCAAGGTATACAGAGTTACTCATAGGTCCCAGCTGCAGATATTCTCAGTGTCAGCACACCACTAATACAAGATTTTAAGCGAATATGTGTTGTGTTTGTGACCGAGTCCTATGTGTGTTTTTATTCACCAGGCCCATGAGATGTGTGCTCTGCTGATCCTGGGAGAGATCCACTGTCCCACGCTCATAAATGCCACTAACAGTGCTCTGCAAATGTGAGAACATTTAAATCTTGATCTGTTGTACATTTTGAAACACTTTTTTTGTTGTTGTTGTAACATTATTGACCAACACTTACCATGTTTGTTTGAATGCTTTTTTCCACTCAGCCAGATATAACCATTAGAAGATACATAAAAGTTAATTTGTTTCCCTTTATTTATTCTTACGTATTTATTGTAGTTCCGGAATTGCGCCGCTGAGGGTGGCAGCACGTTGGAGTAGCTCTGTTACTTTTATTGARATTTTCTTTTCAGGCGTTCATTCCTGCCTTTCTGCGGAAAAAGTAACTTTTTTGGAYGGCTGTTCATTTGTGTTTTGGGTGCTGTGCAGCTGGATTGGTTTTTGCCAATACTTTTTTTATACTTTGCTTTTTTGTTATGATGCGTAACCATAGCAACAGGG